AGAGATAGGAAAAAAAAACCCTACCCCAAAGCCTGCCTGGTTGCTCTTAAGGAACAAATCGAGTTATTCTGTGAGTATTAGGGTTAAGGGTTAACCAATGCTTTTTTCCTGCACACCTGATGGCCATACATAATTTCCCACTGCAATTATCCCAGCTGCCTTCTCAACACCATATACATTTCACTTATGACTGCCCTTTCTTCTGAAACACAGACTTTCCCCATGCCCTCCTACCTCCCTATCTGCTAGTTTACTTCCTGGTCCCCCAGAAAATAACCAGAAAAGTTACAGCACTGTTTCATGTGCTGAAACGCTGGCTTCCAGTTACACAGGCTGAACGGTTAGCTATGAATCTAACAGTAAGTACCTTTTGCGTGCGTATTGTAGCCTTTTCTTCAGTATTGGCACCAATTTGAATTTCTCTACCTGGCTTTCAACCTCCACCAAATTTGCTGAAACTTTCTATCTTTGAGATCTCCGCTGTTCTGCCAAATTTGGTTGAAGTTAGACAATAGGTATGAAAATAAAGGGAGGGAGCACAGGGACTGGCTGATGGACAGATGAGGAGAAAAATAGATAATACATTGCCTGTTTTGGCAGAAAAGTAAACCAAACAATAAGCTTTTTTGTCTGTCTGCTGTAGGTAAATTTGTTGCTTAGAAGTATTTAGAGAGCTGTTTTTTGGAAGAATCTGAGTTGCTCTTTTCTTCACTAGCAAAGTATTGTTCATCACCAATCAACAACTCACAGATAAATAAGAGAACATTTATGGAATTATTTTATGGATCGTTATAAATGGAAGAGCAAGAACAGAAGTTTAATTTTGCAGCAGCACATATAAGCACAATAAATTAGCACATCAAAACCTGAAGTTCTGGTGTGTTCCACACTAGCAATAAAACTCCTATAAAATAAGTTAGCAATATCCCCTTTTCACTGCTTCTATTCCTAGATAGTGGGGTGCAGATAACAATGTACAGCATATCATCATTTTTGCTCTTTTGTTCCTAAAGAATCTCAGAATGGCAAAAAAAAGTCTGTTAAAGGATTTTTTTTTTTTTTAATTTCAATGTTTTATATAGTATGGCTGACCAATAACTAGAGTTAAATTCAAAATTGTTCAGTTTCAGTAAGATTGATTGCATTTTTACTGATGAAGCAGATTATCCTCATTCACTTCTTTCAGTATTTCTTATTGAAGCAATTAATTCAAAAAGGCAGTAAAGTTAAATAACATAATTTTGAGATGGGCACTTTAGGGCTTTGAATACATATTTAGCCACATATTTAGAACATTCTGGAATACGAAGGATTCAATAACAGTTTACACAGTTTTACAGATTAAGTTTGGAGCACAAATTACGTTTCTGGCTCTGCTATAGTTTTCCTTATGGCAATTAGCAAACTACCCACCTAGAAAAGTGATTTTTCTGAATGCTGGTTTCACAACTCCAGACTGAATTCAACAAAAACTGTGCATTATACATCAGATTTGTACACCCAAACGCTACCTTTGCGAAACCATTCTGGAAGAGCAACACAGTCTGGCTATCGCTACCAAAGCTCAAGCTAAAACCAGATGTATTGGCTTTGACTAGGATTGTGGGATCATACACGTTTTTGTATGGGAACACTGTTCAGTAATTCTACTCCTTGCCAGCAAACAGCACCCTGTGAGAGATTTTCTTGGACGAATACAGTAGTTTGAAAAGATTTGATTATACTTAATTAAGCTTGGGAACTGTCGTCATCCTTTTTAGCAATAGTTGTGGTGTAGAAAATTTAAAGAAATTATGGTATTTATGTGGAAACAGTGTTTCATTTTCTTAACAGCAGTCATCACTATGTCAGTCTCATAAGGAACTGTTCTAGCTAAATTATAATGAGAGACAGCTCTAAAGTAATTCAAATGCTATACATCATTTTCTACTGTCTTAGATTAATGAGATTAATAAGAGAGGGATATCGATCAAAGAAGAAATAAGGAAATAAGCAAAGGGTAGGTGTTTCCTTTCCCTTTATGCCTTCTGTGACTAAAGACAACCTATCAGATACGGATTCTGGGAAAAATACTTTGATTCAAAAGTACTGAATTGTGGAGTCATATTGCATAGAAATGGACTAGTCAAAGTTTCGAATTGGGCTAGAAACTCTCTCAAGCACGAATCATTATAAGAGGTTCTCTCTGTTCCTTACCCTACTTGCATGGCTTATATCTATAAAATGAGAGGGGAATCTCTGAAGCAGGGAAATGACTACAACAGAACAACAAAAGGTAGTTTGCTTAAGGTTTCTCCAGGGGTGCGGGAAGACAAGAGTTCCTAGAATACTGTTCGCTCCCTTCGCTAAACCGATTACATCTATAAGGCAAAAATAAATGTCCTACTTCTGAGTATTACACAACTTTCTATACCACATGCCAAAGTAAAATGAGCTTGCAAGGAGTCAACTGTCACCATGCAAAATTTCAGCACTGCAGTCTTACAAACCTCAGTTTACCTTGGATTCTATTTTAAAAGTAAAACTTAGTGAGCCATCTCTTCTCCCTGTCACAAGAGGGTCAACTCAAATACCCGACAATTTCCTAAAGTGTATCTTAATAGAGTTCCTAGCAAATAGCAAGATATTTTAACATCACAAGAAATCTAAAGTGTCACACAATTAGTACTATAATTTGCTAAAAAATTGAGCAGCTAGGATTTATACATACACATCACAGGCTTTACTGTAAACATTAGTGAGATTTTCAAACTATGTTCAATTAGGAGGGGTAGGGGAGGGGGAAGGCATTACCAGCGTTCTATATGAAGAGTTGAAAACGTCCGTGCAGCAGCTTCTCTCGTTAAAAGTTTAAATCCACACTGCGTGTCCCTGATCTCTTTGACACAGAGAAACCATACAAGGAAATGGAACCCATACATAAGAAGAGTTCGGAAGTAAGAGCGCTGTGAACAAAAGGCAAGAAGTTAGTTTGAAAAGAGATGGCTTAAAAGACAATAAGCCTGTTTTGTAACACCTTGCAAAGTTTATAAATTGTTTTTGACACTGGAATAAAATCCGAACTTGTCAATTGTTACACCAAAGCAAAAATCGGAGCTGAAAAGAAAGGCCTGGAGTTAAGCCCATGGGTAGGATACTGGCCTAGAATATGAGAAGTCCAAGTTCTTGTCCCTGCTTTCCTTAATCCACGGCACGTTTTCATTCTAGATAATGCCATATTCGAGTAGAAACCTGAATTTCAGGTTATGAATGGGACAGTCATAACGTTTTCTGTGTGATTCCCTGGGAATTAGGGGTGCCAAGATGGGAAAAATGAAGAAGGGGAAACTCATGCTATTTCCTCTACCTCTACTTGCCACTTAAATACTGTTTTTTTTGTCTGTCTGGTCTTCTGTTTTCATAACTTTGCTGAACAGGTCCAACAAATTCAACGGAAAAGAAGGATTCAAAAGGAAGAGTGACTGAAGAATAAACCCAGCAGGACTGCATAAGAACTGTTTTTCTCAAAAATACACACTAAAAACTAAACAAGTCTCCAGCTGCTACTCTAACACAAAAATTAGAGTTTTATATTATTCCTAAAAACACCAAACAGAAGCATCCCTTGTTGTATGCAACACAATTCTTTCATTCAAGATCCAAGGATCTAAGTGTCTTAACACTGTGTAAGCTCTAATTAGGATACTGCACTTTTTGGAGTATATGGTGGACTAAGCAACAAACAGAATCCAAGTAACAGCTGATATATACGATATTCTTTCATTTTTTATTTCCAGCAATGAGCCACAGTCACTTCTTCTGTTCTTCTGCAAGTATATTTAACGTTCCTCATAAATGTTTTCCCAGTCTACTCTCTGGTTACTCTTCTGCTCTGAATGTAATAATCGTATGATATGTCTGCCTACGTAAGCCAGAGGCTGAACTCCGGTTTTGAGGATGTCCTTCCTAGCCTTGTATTGCAGACAGCTTCTAAAGAACTATAACTTAGAACCAGAATTCGCTTATAAACTCACTGCAGGTCTCAGGTTGAATTTGGGTGCCTGCATCCAAGGTTGTTGTTAAGCCAAACGTGAAATCTTTGGGAACCAACGTTTTAGCTGGCAAAATTCTCTAGGTGATAAGAAATACCTTTACGGCTGCTCATTTCAAGCTTCAGTTGAAAAACGAGAAGATGCTCAACTTATTATGTAATAGCCTAGTGCCTAGAGCACTTATTCAGGAAGTAAGACTTGTCTTTATAGACTTCCAATTTTCCCTTTGGCATAAGACAATTCAAATTCACATCTTGTGCCTCTCAGAATAAGTATTCTAGTCCCAGGGTAACGCAGACCTGGCGTGGACTCTGCCTCCTTAGGTGAGGGTGGACCACAGTGTGATCAAGGGTGCAAGGCTACTAGTGCCAAGGAAAGCAGCAAGAGGTTGTATGACTGTCATCCAGTCAAACCGTGCACTTCATGAAGAGGAGCTCCTGGGTTATTTTCTTGCTCACAGGACTACTATGTGCTTATGTACATAATACTAAGGACTCGCTAAAGTACATTAACAGTTTTGTAAACAAAGCAGAAGCCTTGATCTCATGAGATTGAACTTAAGGGTGAAATTCTGGTCTTAATCATAAATTCCTTACAGCTGCACATCATGAACAGCATCATTCTCCTGTTCTAGATACCACTAAACCCAGAGAGAAATCCTGATCTCAAAAACTGTTCTGTAATTTTTCTACCTGTTGCACTATAGAACAGTTTCTCTTCAATGTTAGAGTGGTAAAGGCAGTCTTTCCTTTCTGGTCAAGGGATAGCTGGGGTGATGAAACAGGTTTCATACTTCAAAGAGCAATACTACCTAAACAGTTAAGGAGTCCTTTATGATAAAGTCAGAAATAAGGGAAGAAACAAGAAGCAAAAGGAGAGCACACTCATCCTGAAAATCATACTTTAGCCTTAAGAAAAAAATCCTGCTCCAATCCTCCCTCATCTGGCAAGACTTTCAAAGATGGAAAGAGATAGGAATGCACTGAGGAAAGTTTATTTATATCCAGTGCCTTAAAATGGCCACACAATAAGAAACGTTTTCTGGACTCAGATTTACCAGCTAAATGCTTTATGTGCACCAGCAACACTTCCAGGATATACTGGCTGTACAGCTAAAATTATTCTAAACAGTGTATTCTGTGCTATAAGCGTGTCAAAGCACATCAAAGATTTATCCTCATTTCTGAAAGAGATGAAGGGCTTCATTTTTGTAAGGATGCTAACATTCACACACTACTCCTTATAAAAACTCTTTCCAGTGAACTGCTGGGAGAATAACCCTCCAATGCTACCTGATAAATCAGAAGAAAAAAAAAAAAATCAAAGATCTACCAGGGGTTGAACACCATCAGCGTGGCTTCTTTTGGACTCTTGCAATTATTTTAGTATTTGTGCATACATTTTAGAAAGATTTCAAGTATTACACACCAGTATAAACAAAGCTTACTCTTGAGAACATTCAACATTATGAGCACATCTAGTGATGCTAAAGACATCAGTCCAGCAATGCATCTGTTGCAATACAAGTTCCATGCCTGTGCTTTGTCAACTACTGCCAAGACATAAGAAAACCAGAAGCAAGATAAAACTGTGTGCCTACACATCATTGTTTATTCTGCAAGAACCACATACTGAATAGTAGTCTGTGTGTTCAAAACTCAAAAATTTCACTATGAGTAATACAGAAAAACTACAGTGTTTTGCTATGGATTGAGATGCTCTTCAAACAGTTTATTACTAAGTATCCCTAATTCAGTTTGAATACGTCTCAAGATTTGCAGACCACAAGCTCTTGCATTGGAAGAGAATCAATAAAAACCCGTCAGTTGTCTTTTACCCCAGCCAGAGTATTGGCAAAATACATACACACATGCACAGAAACTATTCCAGTGTAGGAGCTTTAACTCATCAGTAAATTAAAAAAAAAAAAAAACCACTGTTAACTTCTACAGATTGTGCCTAAAACTTTGCATTTAAATGATATGAAATCAAAATAATTTCCTGCTACCAATTATGTCAGGGATTTGAAGTCCTGCTTGTGAGATGTTCTCAACTAGAGAAACTAAATCCTTAACATTGAAACATTAATTCAAATCAGTTCAAAGTTAGTAGTGCCTGAAATCTAGAAGAACACGTTCTTTGTATATGCCTGAATATATGCTACACTTATGACAAGTTTTTCCTACTTTTAGCTTCCAGTCTTTTGAAAATTTTTGTTACGTATTTGTGAAATCTGAATAGCAGTATCAAATAATGGAAATATCTAAGTATTAGTACTCTGAAGGAGATGGAAACATACCTTTGCTATTGAGTCCTTCTCCAGATGAGCTCTAGAACCACAGGAAATAGCCATCTGGTTCTGCACAGAAATACAAATTAAAGACTTGACCGTTAAACTAACATATTCTCTGAATCATTAGAAACTTCTCTTTCAGGTTCTCAGTGAAACCTTTAAGAGTGATTATAGCTGTATAATGAAAACTTCAAAGCCGTACACCTTTCTGCTTCCTGTAGCTGCACTTTTTCTACTGCTAGATTCTGAGGCTAAAGTAAATCTTTTCTACAATTAACAGATCAGCTAAAGTTTACTGCATTTTTGTATACGGCACATATAAATTGCTGTAATTTATTCATGTCTGGTTTAGCTTACATTGTTCCTCCGAGGTATGCAGATAGCAAATGCACTGAACAGCACACATCACATGAAGTGCCTAGGCGTGCTCAATGCATATAGGTATGTTTACCCTAAATATTACTCTGTGAAAGGGAGAGCAGAATGCTTCACTGATGTATTTTCAAATACATCAAATGCCAAGGTATCAGTCAAAATACCATCTCTAATTAAACCAAATGAGATGATCCAAATGGAAGAGTTAAAAATCATTCTCATGCTACTACTTCTCATATAAAATATTTCAAACCTGCTACATTTGGGAGCATGCGAGGGATGCTGGAGAACCAGCAGCTGCTGCTGTCTTGACAGTGGAGCATCAGGGAAATACTGCCACCCTGTGGCTCCAGCGCTCGTGTGCTTACGTTCACACAACTGACTCGGGGTACTGCTTTCTCTCATGCGGGCACACACCCCTTAGATCCCCCCCGGAAGGCTGCATATCACTTCTTACATTTTGGAAACTAGCTAAAAAGTACCACATTGTTCTGCCTTTAAACACTAGGTCAACAGAAATAAGTCTCAATCCTTTCAAATCAAGCACCTGAAAGATGAGAGCTTCTCCCTGGATAGCCGTTATTTCACAGTGGGTTTTTTTTCTTTTTTTATTGCAATCAAAAGAGGGAAAAAAAGTTCTTTATAAATAATATCACTAAACTGACAACTCCTAGAAAAGAGAATCTATATAAAATAGGGTGAAATTAAGATGCATCCTTAAAGCTATACAGGATGACATTAGATGAAAATAAAATATAAAACCCAGTTAACAAACCAAAAAAGTGTTTTTAACCGAGTAGACAACGTATGAGATTTTTACAGAGCACAGTAACTACAAATGAAAAACGCTAAATAGAACATTATGTACTGCACTGAGAGAGGCACCGTGAATGCAGAGGAGGTAAGAACTCAGTGGAAGCTATCTCCTGACAGGCCATTCTTGCAATTTCAAAACGTCAGCTCTTCAGACTTGTATCTAAATCTTTAACTGAATCTCAATGAACACAGGTTAAAGGGAATTACAAAAAAAAAAAAAAAATCAATCTGTATGCACGTGTATTACACTCAAACCATGAGAACTTGTACTCACTGGCCATGGCTGAAGACTGTTTAGACCTTCTTCTACTTTTTCAATATCTGGAAACTTTGTAGCTCCATCTGCATCAGCCATCAGAATTTTCTTCCCCCGAGAACCAAAGACACCCTGCAATTGAAACAGCTAATAAAAAACCTACACCTTCTAAATCAGTATTTGTCATGATAAGCTAGCTGCAAGACATTGCAGAAACCTACTGTAGTAACTGGAGTAGTGGTACCACAGAAATTCAACACTACAGGTGATCCTTAATATTCTGCTACTAACTACAATTCATTAATTTATATTATAACAATGCCTAGAGACTTCACGTATTGACGAGCGTTCCACAAGAGTACATAATGCATAAACACAGCAGAGTAACGGTCCCTCTCCTGAAGAGCTTACGAACTAAAAGCTTTGCAAACTAAAATCCTGAGAGATAACAAGTTGCTACAGTCAGCTATACAGGAAGCACAAAGTAGCAGTGATTAGCAGCTGTCACTGCACTGGATAGCTTTTCTTTTGTCATCTGAGCTATGCCTCTTTATCAGTCTAGAGCCATAGAAAGGAGGATGCAGTGCTACCTTCTAAGAGTTTCAACAGTACTGAAGAGAGAATATTTCTCAAAGCGAATTTAAAATAAAGCAGCGTCACTGTAAATGATTTGTGACAAAGTAGGCCTCGCAGTTTATTTTGCCATATTCTTAGTCAGAGATCTTTGACAATTTTTGAAGGAGTCCACACAGGAAAACAGTAGTGAGTTTGCCAAAAGTACTGTTATTACTGAGCACATGTGACTTAATAAATACACCCACTCTACAGTCTGCAATATACAACTGTATCACACAATCGTTCTCCTTTTCCTAGGATAACTGAAAAATTATGTACCTTACAAGAACTCAGTACTTCATGTTTTCTCTATTTGCTATAGATACTGGTGTTTCATAAGTAAACCCTTGAACTGAGCCATTAAATATTCAAGCTTTACTGAGACAATCAGTGTGTGTGTGGGGGGGAAGCATGAAGAAAAAGATTTTTGAACTCATATATTCTGCACCTAACAACTATACTATTTACAATTACTTATCAGGCTAGTAGGTATAATTTATGGGTTGTCAGAGCCTCTATCTTTTACAAAAAAAATAATACATCATTTATGCTGGGAAAGAACATTCCTTCTAAATTTGTAACAACTAATTTATTTTCTGGACATGATGATTGTATATGATATCTATGTGCACGTTAATACGTGAAAGCATAGAGTGTGCCTCTTCTACCATCAAGTGCAGTTGATAACAGCGGATTTCAATGAATACAAACTTCTTTGGAGGAAAACGTTAGTTCACCAGCCATTTTTTAAAGTTAGAACTACAAGCTGGAAAGCAATGTTTGCAAATTTAGCTGTACTTTCTTTTATAAGAGTTTTACTTAAATCTGTAAGGTTTTAGAGTTTTTGCTTTTTAAATGCAGGCCTATTTCTAAGCAAAACTAACAGGAACATGAAGTTCAAGTCCAATAGTTTGTTTTTTTTTAAATCTTTTGAATGCTCATATGAAAAGAACTCTTTGTTACTAGCCTTCTCAGCTAGAAAAGATTGCTTTCAAGACCTAAAATAAGCTTACTTTACAAAGTAATTTATGGAACTTGTTCTCAGTTCTCCTATAATTATTTTGTTAATGCATGAAATTCAAAACTTAGATCAGCACAGCTGTATCACCTGCATATGGTGCACAACTAGTTCAAATACAGAAGGAGATGAAAGCATCAGTTACCATCCTGACTGCTCCTCCTTTCCCTCGATTTTTTACCAAAGAAAGCACTCGCACTTTGTCGTTTCCATATTTCTTGCAGTACTTCAGCGCAACCTAACAGACACACAAAAAACCAGCATAAAACAAAAACAGGAATCAAGGCAGAAGTTTTCATTTGCTCACCATTTTTTTTTTAATTCAATAGCACAGAGTAATAGTCCCTTCAGTCTGCACAAATATATTGCCCAGAGATTGCTGAAGTCTGTTCAGGAAAATAAAAACCAGTTCACAGTGAACACAAGAAGACTGAAAGAGACAGTCATGTTCAACTAGAATATGATATTCCCCCAGGCAGTTCTAGACCTCATTTCACCTATCTCACCAAAGTCTAAAAGATTCAGCACTAATGTAGTTTATATTATACTATTACAGGCCTTTTACATTAACACCTATAGCTAGTCAAAGAAAGAAAAAGTCTGCTACTAGTGCCACCTATTTCTCATTTGTTTCACTGTTATCTGTGGTATTAAAAAAATTCACAAAGGTCAAAAATCCCATTCACACTGCAGGGATGTGCTCTTTTGGTCCAGACGGTGGGGGAAGAAAAAACATGAGTTTTCTCCTCTAATCTTTTCCAAAGGTTGCCTCAAATCCTTGCAAGTTTGGAGGTCCATGGCCACAGCGTGCTCAGTTAGAAATTATAAAGAAAGAGCGCAAGGAAGACAGTAAATGTACACACACAATCCTTAACAGACAAGTTTAAGGGAAGGAAATGGAAAAGCAGCACTCATGTTAATTAAGTGGTTTTGAAAACCACTACCAGTGGCAAGGAGATTTTTAAATGAACAATTTCACGATCACAGCAAGCTATGTTAGAAACATTAAAAAAGACTAAAGTGATAGTTAAAAAGAGAAACACAGAGAAGGATGAACAAGCATTCTTAGAAGAGGAGAAATTCTGAAAGAAGTGGAAATTTGGAGAGAAACCCTTCCCCCCACCCTCGACTTACCGATGCTGTCATAAGATAATGAATTACAAATTATAATGTTTTGAGGTGACACTGTGGAAGTGGTAGCGTACTTGTGTAGCTGTAACGGTTTGGAATATCATTCCATGAACGGTATGGGAAAGAGCTATAGAACATGTCAGCCACTCTGTCCATCACAGTACAAATCAGCTATTTCAAAAGGCTTCCTAGCCTCACTCAACTTCATACTTACATCACTATGTACACGCAGAATATTTCAGAAGAAACCTGATGAAGTTGAAATTAGAATTTTAGCTGCAGGAAAGTGGCTGTCACATTAGCCAACCATGAATAATTGCATTTGCAAAATAGTTAGATATGCAGGCATATGTGCACGTGACATCCATAACGCAGGCAGGATAATGACAGAAAGCGTTCAGAAGCCTAAATTTTAATTATCAAGTAAAGAAAATTATTCAAATACCAAAATGTAAGAACAAAATATTGTTATGGTTCACAAATGCAATATATAAACCTATACATCCAATTACTTGGTAAGAAACTGCTCTCTCTTACCTTTTTGGTTAGATCTTTACTACCATCGTCAACCACTATTACTTCATAAGTGAATGAAGGATCTTGTTTCTTGAAAATAAAGAGAGAAACAACGCATTTAATACAATCTTTTCAGTAGGAAGCATGCCTTTCAAACATCAGTGTTCTCTTCTACCGTTTGTGTTTACAGACAGGCATCAATATGATGTGGTAAATTTGTTACGACAGTAAACACAGTTAAGGAATTTTGCCGTATTAGATGTCTGTTGGCTTGTCATATTTTTCCTGAGCTACATCTAGCACTGAAAAATCAATTTAGTTGAAAAAGGGTATGTGAAAGCTCAGAACATCACTGTTAAAAAACAAAGAAACAAAAATCCAATAAACAAACATCCCCTCCCCCCCCGCACACCTTCATAATGGGCGTCTTAATCAGATAACCAATCCTAATGAAGAACAAGTGTTTAAAAATACTGGAAGAACAAACTAGGTTGTAGTTCAGAGACTTAAATATCTGGTTAATTCTTAAACTCTATCTTGGATACATACCTTGCATGGAAATTTTTGTCATGATAGAATAGTTAATTAAATTTTTACTTAATTAAAAAATACCTTCCAGCATTCAATCTTAGAATAACTGATAAGAGACAGAAGCACTACTTCTAAGTAGCTGAAGTTATACTATTTTAACATATAACAAAACAATCAAGTGATTAGATCACAGATTTATATGCAATACATACAAAAATAATGAATTATGAATGCAAAATAAAATACCTGTCTTTTTTCTAGATAATCTAAAGCTTCATCCATCATAAGAGGCACTACAGAAAAGGTGGAGGAGCTCAGGTTAGTAGATATAACAGGCTAAACACCAAGACCACCAACAAGCATATGCACAAGCAAGCTGACAACAACCATAGAACTAAGAAGAGCAAATTGATTCCTTCATAAAACACTAATTTCACTAAACAAATCTAGCACCTGCAATTCTAAGTGCTGTCCTTCCTGAATATGAAAATAATAATGAAAAAACCCACATCTAAGACAGGGGATGAAAATGTTTCTTTAAAGATCAAAAACAACTTTTTAGTTTGAAAATGTAATTCTCTACATAGTATTAAAGAAAAAAAAAAAAGCCTTGCCTCACTCTGCGAACCAGCACTGACTAATCTTTGCGTTCACAAAAGATGACAGAAGTCAGCAAGAGAAATTCCTAATACTAGTCAGCACTGTGCATTCGTTTACTAAGGCTGCTGACCCAGATGCTTTAGGCACCTAACAGGCACTACTTTTGCAGCTGAACTATCTGTACATTAGAAAGATGTTCATTCTCAGCTGCCTTTGCAGTATATGCTCATTCCTGAGCAAATCTCAGGTGATTGTTCTGTCTCTGAAGAGAGAAGGCCAAATGAAAGTCACATGAAATGTATTAAATCCTTGCTCACAGAAAGCGAGCGCCTGAGAACCAGGACTGAGAAATACACTGGACTCTAGAAAGTGCCGGGCCTACTCTGCAGACTAGATACATACTATTTGCCAACATCCCTTGTCATGGAATCCTGAACAGCTCACTAGAAAAGGGAATGACAGTGTGTGCTATCATGTCAACCGCAAGCAGAGCTTCAGAGCTTGATGCTTTCTTATCCCATCAGAAAGCCTTCACCTTTTAGCAGCATATAAATGGCCAAGACAAAAGTCAAAGGGAAACCCATGCGATCATCTTCTTTCTGCTTGAGGCTGCTGCTGCCGGTTTCAGAGTGGGAAATTCTCAAATCAAGTTCAAAAGGCCTTTTCTACATCTCTTCTCACAGCATCTACAGGGGAATAAGCAGCTACTTTGCTGTGCTTTATTTTAATATAATGCATTCTTACAACTGATTTTTGTTGCTGGAAACTGGGTACAACATTAGACATAATTTCTTAATTCTGAAATTCAGTGTAGTTGGATTGGTTTCTGGAAACTGGGTACAACATTAGACACGTCTAGCCTGCCAGAATCTATTGCTAACATAAACTAACCTCTGCATTATTAGAGTAATAACAGATAGATTTTCTTCTTTTTCTCAAAACAAGAAAAATCTTACACCGGTCTTCCTCATTGTATGAAGGCACAACAACAGAGAGCTCCCTTGTAGGGGGATCATGTATACTTGGTACAGATTCTTTCCTGCCTTCAGCAGTTAGGAAGAACTTCTCTTCTTCATGTCGGTGAAGGCTTGGCATTTTTATGGCAGTTATGTGAGCAATTATACAAATCTGTGAAGAAAAAAGAAAAAAACACGCAAGAAAGTCTTTGCGCACTGTTTATGGAGTAGTGTCCTAGTAAAGGTTTACCCAGCTATTGCAACGTGCTACAATCGGACAATCAAATGTAGTTCGGTAATGAGCTGGGCTAAACGATGCAGTATTTTACCTATTGACCACATCATCCAGGATCAAAACCTTCTTATGCCACCTGCTCACTCCTCTTCATCTAACCTGGACACACTTAGCATCGGGAGTTTCTGTTTTCAGACGGAAGGCACCTTGAATGCTTCTGAAGATGTGGTCCAAGCCCCACTACACCTTCTCCAGCCTCCACCTCTAATACTACTAACTTCTGCCACCGCTGATCCCCCGCGGAGCCACTGCAGTGGATGGTGTTACTCATGAGCTTAGCCAGCCCCACGTTTGCAAAAATCACTTTTCTGCCCAGCTCAAATAAATCAGTAAGGCTTTTTTTTGGAAGTACTTTTCCTAGCGAACAATATATATGCAGTTCTCCTGACTAGCAGCAGCGCCCGGTTTCCAAGCCTCACAGGTCTCAGCCTTGCACCGTGTTTTAATCACCTAGAAAGGACCAACACCCCTAAACGATTAAGATGCAAAAAGCATCATGAGGCTATTCTAGGAGAGATCCGAAACGAACAAAGCCCCCTCCGTTTTCCATCTCGTTTGCCACGCGGCGCACCGACACGCCTTGCGCAAACACACAACAACGCTCCCAGCTAAGCCGCTGCGGGAACAAGAGCGGCG